CTTCGCTTCCGGACCCCCACCAGGGCTTTGCCCTGGACCCACTGGGGGCTTCAATGCAGCCCCAGACCCCCTGCCTTCTACTGCCCCCCCCCCCCTCCGTTAAGAAATTCCTGGATCCGCCCCTGCCAAGAATGATTTGTGGCAAGTTTGACCCAGTGGTTCTTGAAAAATGTCGAAAATGTGAAAAGTTTACAGACGACACACGACAGATGGACGCTCTTCAATCAGAAAGTTCGGCTCAAGTGACCTAACAAATTAAAAACAAAAAAAAAATCCCCTATACATGTATTTGCTGTTCTAAAAAACGTACAACGTACTTTTTTTTTAGGAAAGCAATTATCAGGGGGAGGGGAGTGTTCGTTTTTCATGTTTTTATTTGTACGTTTTTTGGTGTTATAGAATGGCAAACATCAAGGATTGCACTATTAGTTTTTGTTTTTAAATTCAGACAGTCATACATTTGTTTCAAAACACATAAAACACTAAATAAACCATCCTGCAACCAAACCCTTTTCCACACTGAACAAATACAACACTATGACCTTAAAATATAGCTAATTAGTTAAAGTCGTGTCAAGGTCGATCTTTTGGAGCGCATTAACGTATTAAAAACGCAGTTGGATCGCAACTGCGCGTTGTACATCGTTGTAGATAGTGGAAGACCAACAACAATTTTCACAAAATGTACGTAACGTCTGCGAGTTAAAGTCGTGGTGTCGTAGGGAAATGTTTGGCTTGATCTTCAATGATTTGAAGCAACGTCTGAATACGCTAGCCTCACGATCAGCCTAGGATCCTTTGATTCAGCCATAAAAATACAACTCCAGATATTTAAAGACATTCTGGGTGTTCATAGAAAATCATCTAATATTGCTGGTCTATATGAGTTGGGACAATTCCCACTATTTTTTTAGTATTATGAAAATATGTTTAAATTTTATTCAAGATTGTAAAATTTAGTGTCAGAGAATGAGCATCATGACCAATTAGTGGTGTCTGCATTTTTAAAGGAAGATAAAACATTGGGGTATAAAATATCTTTGCAAAGAAAACTTTTTACTTTACAACAGAAATTATCTTTATCCTCATTGGACATATCACATAAAACTTTAAAACATAAATTAGAGGAGCACTATAGGAACAAAATCTGTGAACAGTAAAAGAACATTTCTAAATTAGATTCTGGAAAATTAACTTTTTATAGTAATATAATAAATTTAAATGAATATAAATTACAAAACTACCTACAATTATCATTGAAGAAATCTGAAAGAACAATCCTAACAAAACTAAGCGCTCATATATATTTTGAAATGGGGAGATACTCAAGGCCACCTATTCCTAGAGAAAAACGTATGTCATTCTTGTAGACTTTTTATTGAAGATGAAAAACATTTTGTATACTTTATTGTCCTAGTTATGATCAGTATAGATTACAATATTGTGATATATTTAATGCTCAATGTTACACGAAGGAAAACCTTTTATTGACATTATCGACCCTCCAAGTATTAAAATTGCTAGAAGAGTATGTAACTTTCTGAAAAAAGGTGCTTTGATATTAAAAAAGAAAAAAAATTCAACATAACTGATATGCTTACTGGAATAATTTTTTTATTGATTTTATGTATGTTATTGTTTGTTGTTTTCATGACTATATGCCAATATATGATGGTGTTGTTAATAAATGAATTGAACTGAAACTTGCAACTCAAATTCTAATAAGCGCCAACTACGTCATTACTACGTCCATAGATTCCATACTACGTATTGCAAAACTTCAAACGAGACTATGAATTAGATCCTTTGATCCGCTCACAAACGATCGCAATATATTTTTTAGCGATTGTATGTGAACGTATCAAAGGATCAAATTCTAATAGATTGATGATTCAAGAACCAGTTCAATCGTGTTGATTTTCCTTCAAAATACCAAAATAGTTCAACTTTGTAGAATATTATTACTTATCATGTTTGTTATACTGTGTTAAGAAATGTATCGGGTTGATCATTTTCATAGGTGTTGTGTTTACCTTTCAATATTAGAAATCATATAATACAAAAACTACTTTCCGAAATGTTTTCTTTTCGAAATTAGAATAGCGGCCGTTTTAAGATATGAAGAGGATCGAGTTTGTTTTAGGCGACCATAATTTGATTTTTAGTTTTACGGATTTTTTTTCAAGAAAGGTCAAGTCGGAGGACGAAAAAAAAAAGAAGACAAAATTCACAGTTTATTATTTATTGATACATAATTTTGTGAAGTTGCACGGCATTTTATATAACTGTCATGGTATGCGACGTTTTTTTGTGACACTACGTATTTCCCTGACACAGTCTGTTGTTTTGCATTTGTTGAATTTGTTAATCAGGGATTTATCAGCCTATTTTTGGAAATACCATTTTTGGGGAATTGGGAAAAAATTAAAATGTTGCTTAAATCATATACTCAAGTGTATTTCATTTAACATTTCAGCATGAACTCTAATTTGGGCAACCAAACAGACAATTAAATATGATCCAACTTCATCATGCAAGATCAATTATGAACAATAGACTAATAAATTAAAATTAACTTCAATGACTGGGTATAAAGTATTTATGCAACTCACAGGTACTTGGGTCTTGGTTTATAAATATGTATGTACCTTATTGATATGTACTTTTTTTACATATCAATAAGGTACATACATATTTATAAACCAAGACCCAAGTACCTGTGATACAACTTAGGTAGTACGTGTATGTATGAGATTCCAATTTAGGTACAGAATCTGTTTCTGGGGATTATAAACCTCCTGCAAAAATCATACCAAGTACACATTTTCTATAAGTCCTCTTTTAATACATGTATGTATAAATGCATTGAAAATGTATTTTTTTAATCTGAAATAATACCTACAGTGCTTACTATTCATTCGTAGATCAATTGAATAGGTGGAAATAACTTAATACGTCTATATAATTACACAATATCACCACTTTCAGAAAAACGGAGGATATTCGGATTAAAAGTTGGCGATGTTTTTACAGTGTTTTTAAACATGTGTTATGACTGTAGCTTTGCTAAATGAGTTAAATAGAGGAAAATTACAGACAATCTAACAAGTTTACTTTGTGTTTTCCAAGATAATTAATTTTAAAAGCATTCACCTATTGGGAAAAAACACTGCCAAATTGGAAAACACTTAACTCATTTTCAATTGGGAATGGGGACGAATTTCGGCCCCAGAGAAGGTACTGATAAATTCCTGAACTGTTTGAAAGTGTAGGTTGGTTTTTGAAAACAATGAAACCAATCCAACAATGTCCACCATTCTGCACATGTGTTTTTACATATCTGAATGATTTGGTATTATAAAACACGGGTTTGACACGAGCGGCTTGAAAAATTTCGATTTTTTTTTTTTTCAAAATGCAAATTTTTAGAGTCGGCGGATCCGTAAAACTAAAAATCAAATTATGGTCGCCTTATTTCCATTGTCATTTTCACGTGACTGTAATTGCACAAGCAAAGAAGACAGGCATTGGATCGGCAGGAGAGACCACTATCCATTTATCACAGAAGTGACTTCTGAAGATAGCTTTTAAGTGGGAGGGGCGCATCAGCACCCCCTTTCCTAAAAGGTGTAATTGTGCCCTTTCACTTATTACGCCTTTTTTGCGTTATATTAACGCCTTTTCAACTTTGTTAAGGTGAGCTAAAATTCCTTAGCCTAAGAATTTTCATGATAAGGGCATTGATATGACTCTTTTTAACTGGACTTCAAATATTTCTCAAATAGATATGTTTTGTCAAAAATGTGTATATTTAATGTATAGTAAGTCTATATACTCCATGTTTGTGTACACTGGAAAATGTACATTTGTGTTACATTTTCAAAAAAAAAAAAACACGGAGAGAAGACCCACTTATATAGAAAGATTGTGTTATAGAATGAAGAAATGATTTTTATAGTCTAATTTGATGACGTGTGCTTGCTATCTCACATATGAACAATTTCAATAATCATAGCAAATTGTGGAGATTTTACATAAAGTAAAATTATTGTTAATTAATAAAAATATCAAAGAATAACTTTTTAATAATTGAAATTCACTTTCTTAGTTTGTCAAACCATGGGCATATTTCTCGCCTCATTGGCTCATCTTCTTTTTCCCATGTTCTACTTTTTATACCTTGTTGTACAATATTCAACCAACACAAATGCATATATTTGTTCAATTTGATTTGACAAAATTAGACCTGTTGAAAGAATTTTCTTCATCATTTTCATATACATATACTATGTATTCATAACTTAAATTTAAGAGAGACTGTCATCAAAACCTGTGTTTAGCTGGTTTTAGTCTGCTAAACTAACTCAATGTTTTTTGTTTTGTTTGTTGTTTAACGTCCCTCTGAACTGTGAATTTTTCACTCATATGGAGACACCACCACTTGCCGGTGGAGGGCTGCAAATTTTGACCTATGCTCCGAACTCAGGGCCATTGAGCAGTGCCAGCACCTACTGAGACACGGGACCTCGATTTATACGGTCTCATCAGAAGGACCGGTCTCCATGTCCCATAGTGGGATTCGAATCCACGACGTAAGGATCAACTCCTTACACCGCGAGTCTAGAGCAAACGCTCTAACCACTGCGCCATGTGAGCAACCAAACTCAGTGTAGATGCTTGCAAAATATTTTGAGAAAATACATTATCTTTATGTACAATGTTTTCTTGATAAATAATTAATCCTTCTGTATACACAGTTGAACTTCAGTATCTCAAACACTGATATCTCGAATACCATGGATATGTCGAAATGATTTGGAAGTCCCAAACCTTATTCTTTAAGTATTTTACTCTGGATATCTTAAATCCTTACGTATCTCGAAGTTTTTTTCTCGGTCCCTTTAAGTTCAAGATAACGATGTTTGACTGTACATTCATAAAGAACGGTCAATTTTATTCCCTTATTGCACTAAAATCTTAAAATAGGCCTGACACAGATATGTAAATACTTATTTATTATATCATTTTCATGTAAATTGCACATTACACATTCAATGTGTATATCATATCAATAACAATAAATATAGTAAAATTAAGGTACATATAAAATCACAGATTACATGTACATTAAAATGCTAAAACAAAACTCCCCCATAATCCCTGTAAAATGATATCAGAATACATATGCTACCTTTTCTTTTTACTGCTTTTTGGACCTTTTTTCTCATTCTGAAAAACAATTAATATAACAGCCAAGTAGTACTTAAATTCCAGGAAAATCTACCAATTTCAATTTACATGTATCTGCTTATATTATCTTGCACTTTAAACCTTTGAAAGCCTTCTCAAAAGATACAAATTATAAAAGTATGTTTAGTTTATTATACATGTAAATTTACTCCTTTATGATATAATGCATAGCTCTCAAATCAGTAAGTAGGGATAGAACTGAATAAATTATACATTAATTTTTTATGTCAAAAATATTAATTACATGTACATGTAGTGTATATTGAACAGTGGTATTTTGAACACCAAATCTTGTATGCCACAGATTCTCAAAAATAGTCAATGTTCCCATATTTATTATGAAATTCAAATTCACTTTCTTGGATATCTCAAAATTTTCCTTAGTCTCCTTCAGTTCAAGATATCCAGGTTCAACAAAAATAACTACTATACAGACAAACTAACCTTTGACTTGATATAACCATGTTCATCCAAAAGTTGTCTGGCACAATTATTGATGTGTTTAAATCGATCTGGTCCGAGATGTATTCCTCCATACCAGCGAGTCACCACTACTATGACATTGCGGGCGTCCACTATCTACAGGTAAAAAATCACACAAATCATTTAAGTCCCAAATGAAAAGGTAAAATTACACTCCTGATTTCATCCACAATATCTACACTGATTTACTCTGCCCATTTTAATCATTTTTAAAATCCTTTTGATGAATTTTTTTGTTACTGTAAAATACAACAGTTCTCATAACATGGAGACTTAGTAACAATTGCTTCTGTTACTAATGTTTTTCACAGGAACTCTTTTATACATGTACACAGGAACTCTTTTATACATGTACACAGGAACTCTTTTATACATGTACACAGGAAATCTTTTATACATGTACACAGGAACTATTTTATACATGAACACAGGAAATCTTTTATACATGTACACAGGAACTCTTTTATACATGTACACAGGAACTCCTTTATACATGTACACAGGAACTCTTTTATACATGTACACAGGAACTCTTTTATACATGTACACAGGAACTCCTTTATACATGTACACAGGAACTCTTTTATACATGTACACAGGAACTCTTTTATACATGTACACAGGAACTCTTTTATTCATGTACACAGGAACTCTTTTATACACATACAGGTACCTATTATTAGACAAGGTTCTGTGGAAATAATGGTTTCAGAAACAGGAGTGGTGACCTAATTTTCAAAGCATACAGTGAATTGAGTTTGCTACAAATGGTGTCATTAATACACCTTCCTGGAAAACATGGACCTAATGATATAATATTTAGAATATGGTTTGAACCCCTCAGAGGCAAAAAATTCATAGAACTGATATAACACAAACATTAGCAGAGAAGTAGTTTCAAAATGGACAATTGTATAAGAGATTAACTGACATTTTCACATCAGTGCCATTTCTAACAATTAAAATACAAAACAGCCTACTCACCTGACAATTAGAGTACAATACAGCCTACTGCTCCTAACTACAAGGATACAACACAGCCCACTGCTCCTAACTATAAATATACAACTCAGCCTACTGACCTGACGATTAGAATACAACACAGCCCACTGCTCCTAACTATAAGGATACAACACAGCCTACTGCTCCTAAATATAAGGATACAACACAGCCTACTGCTCCTAACTATAAGGATACAACATAGCCTACTGTTCCTAAATATAAGGATACAACACAGCCATAAATATACAACACAGCCTACTGCTCCTAGATATAAGGATACAACACAGCCTACTGCTCCTGACAATTTCTGACAATTAAAATATATCACAACCTACTGCTACTGACCATTTGAATATAAAAATGCCTTCTGTTCCTGATTATAAAAATAAAACACAATCTACCTCCTCTGACAATAAGAATACAACACAGCCTACTGCTCCTGACTATTAGAATACAACACAGCCTACTGCTCCTGACTATTAGAATACAACACAGCCTACTGCTCCTGACTATTAGAATACAACACAGCCTACTGCTCCTGACTATTAGAATACAACATAGCTTAGTGCTTCTGAATATTAGAATACAACACAGCATACTGCTTCTGACTATTACAATACAACACAACCTACTGCTCCTGACTATTACAATACAACACAACATACTGCTCCAGACAATAAAAATACATCACAAACTACTGCTACTGACAACACAGCCTTTTGTTTATAACTATAAATATATAACACAGCCTATTGCTTTTGTCTATAAAAATACAACACAGCCTTTTGTTTATAACTTTAAATATGTATCACAGCCTACTGACCTGACAATTAGAATACAACACAGGCTACTGCTCCTTATTATTAGAATACAACACAACCTACTGCTCCCGACTATTACAACACAACCTACTGCTCCTGACTATTACAACACAACCTACTGCTCCTGACTATTACAATACAACACAACCTACTGCTCCTAACTATTACAATACAACACATCCTACTGCTCCTGACTATTATAATACAACACAGCTTATGGTTCCTCACAAAAAGATATGCAACACATTCTAATATTAGAATAAAACACAGTCTACTGACCTGACCTGACTATTAGAATACAACACAACCTACTGCCCCTAACTATTAGAATATCAGCAGCCTATCACTCTTGACTATTAGAATACAACCTAGCCTACTCTGCTTAACAAATAGAATACAACACATCCTTCTGCTCCTAACTATTAGAATGCAGGCTATTGCTCCTGATATTTAGAATACAACATTACCTGCTCTTTTATATTCAAATACAATACAGTCTACTGCTCCTGACTGTTGGAATACATTTCAGCAATTATTCACAGCAGCATAATGCCCCTAACAGAATATTGTGCACTCTACTGGTCTTGTCTGTAACAATACCTGCATCAGATGTAACATTCTTGACCCTGCTTGAGTTTCCCCATCATCTTCACAGCCTTGGTAGAAGACCTCTGATTGGTCATCTTTACTTATCCGGTATGCATATATATTGTGTGTTGCAGAAGCAATCTTCTTACTTTGGTAAAGAGATTGTAGAACTAATTTAACCTAGGAAGAAAAAAAAATCAGTTATTTATTTTTACTTGTGCAATGAAAATATATACAAGTATTGTAATTTAAATTTACCTAAACACAATAAAAATATTACATGTTTTGCCGAGATCAGCATTGGTTTTCGCAGGATAACAATTTCACATTACCCTAAATAAACATGTAATATTATTTGTATTACTGAATGTATTTAGAATGCATTTAGAAGAAAAAGCCACAGTGAACCATATGCACAGACATTCTGTGGATTTAACAATTTTTATACTGTTACCCGTAGTCATGCATTTTCAACCCTTGATAATGTTACCTGGAGGGCGTGGTTTACGCACGTGGTAGGGTAACAATACTTTTTAACAAATGTTTTTAAACCAAATTTGACTATTTAACATGAAAGTATAACAAATGTATATATTATAATTTCATGTAAATTAGTTGAATCTGATTCGTCGTGAAACATTTGATAAAAAACACTATTACCCGCTGAATAATGAAGCCACACCCTCCAGCGTAGCAACAGTCAACATTGCTTGACGACGGGTGGTATTCCAAACAATAGTGACTGCGCAGAATTTATGTGTATTTGTATAAAACATTCAGTATAATATAATAAATATTGCATGTAGTTGAGTGTAGCATTGAAAATTTTCACCCCAAGAAAACCATTTTCAACCGAGGCGCAGCCGAGGTTGACAATGGTTTTCGAGGGGTGAAAATTTTCAATGTTACACTCAACTACATGCAATATTTATATAATATTAAATTCTGACAAAATCTGTAAACTATTGATAATTACAATAGATTAAATGAATGCATGGTCCTATTAATTAATAGGAACGTTGAATAAACGTTATAAATCAAATAAATAAAGTTAAAAACCATGATTAAAAGCAAACAATACCTGCTTTGTTTGAGATATTGAGGCTATGTGACCTTGAAAAACGCTTTTTCTGTCCATAAAACTCTCCCCATGGTGAATCTCTGGACACTCTACCTCTAAAACACATGTAATATATACATCTATATGTATAAAAAATTCTAACGCAATCTACTAAAGTTTAAACTTATCTTTAAAATTTTTTAGTCCCTTTCAGTAATTTTAAATGTTGTCTAACTTGGCCAATTTGTTGGAACAAGTGGTGTTAGGATTGGACAAGATCTACCGTATATATAATTCTATCGTACGTGGTCTACTTATGTGTAATCTTTCTGTAAATTAGCATGGCATGTATGCACTTGACTTTACTGTTCGAATCCTTCATAAATCAAGAAATCATTATAGCAGTAGTTCTGTAGTGGAGATCTACCCACCCTCTCTACTTTCCTCTTGCTCCTCTGAGGGGCACTTGTCAAGTTCTTCCTGTATTTTTGTAAAACTGTACTCTGAACAATCATCTTCCTCCTTTGAAATTTCATCTGAATCGTCATGTGAACTAGCTGGACTAACTGCCATTTGAATGCCATTTGAAAAATAATCAAATCATACAACTATATGAAGTATGATGGGTGTTCTAATAAATAAAAGATATGTATAGACATCATTTCTGTAAGAAAAATCTACAATGCCAACACAATCATCAATAGTGATATCACAAAACCTTTTTGTAAAGGTTGCTGAAAGACTCAGCGTGCCACAGGACAAGTACTATGTACCATAAATCTGGAAATTTTTACTGTTGATAAATTTTTAGCAATTTTGTGCATGCAATGCATTTGCAAAAATATTGGTCGTAAAAATAAAACAAGAAATAAATCTTCAGTCAATTAAATTCAAACAAATTTTAATTTATGCTTGAATATAAAACTCTTTTTATAATGTTTTGATCAATCATTTTTTAAAAGAAATTTTGATCTAAATTCATAGTTTTTCAACTTAAATGAACTTGAATGTTCTTATGTTTAATCAATAATTTTTATTTGAAGGTTTGTTTATTCAATTTAATCCTTTACGTACCATTATGACCTGACACTAATTAAGAGACAATAAGAGTAATGAGTGAGACTTTAATTGTTAAACAATTGGCCACAGCACCCCTCAAATTTACTAATTATCAATTCTCTGCAGCCCAGTATTGCCTTTGGCAGCTTTTGCCTAAATTGCCTACCTGAACTATGTGTGCACTAAAGCGATGCGAAATTCCTGCATCACACAAGCACTGACTAAAATAACAGAGTTTGTCTGAATACATGTAAACAAAAAGGCATGGGTGACTAAAGAAAAACCAGGACCTATTTTTACATGTTAATAGAAAAAAATATTTTCACCCACTTTGAATTTAGCATACATGTATATTTGATTATATGGGAAAAAAAATACTTAGAATTTTTTAGTTGGTTTTCCTTTATTTTCAGCAATGATGTGAATTTGCAAAATTCAGAAACTTAAAAATTAATATATACCGGGACCACTTTGACCCAAATTCGCCAAAATAAATCAGATGTAAAAATTTCCAGATTTACCATATGTGGATACTGAATAATTATCTAACACATTAACAGGTAAATGCATTGTTAGTTCACTCACTAGTTAGCTACTGCTATGAGAAATGGGATATTTGCTACCAAAGTATGACATGTATGTCTTCTGAGGGGTACAATGTAAAAGATCAGACATGTTCGTGTAAGTTCCATGCTTGACATTAGTATGAATCACAGAACATTATTTTTGTTGTAGAAAATTTAGTCTTAAAACATATTTTCATGTTATTTTTCTGGACAGACTTTGAAAAGTGATGTACAAAATTTCAGTCAAAAGTTTGGATGAAATGTACTCACTGGATTTAATGTAATTACCAAAGTCTATAATTTGTTCCTTCTATTTTATGCACTACGAACAGTATAGTGATGACTATTCTTTATCAGTTTTGTGATCCTAGATCTAAGAATGTCTGTATGTTACCTGGGTTTTCTTGTCTTTTCACACTGCTTTTCTCCTGCAAATATTCACGTATTCTTTCAACCCAAAGGAATATGACACTTTCTCCAATATTTGCACTAAAAATATATATGTAAATTCTTATTTTAGCTCAAAGCTCATCTAGTAAATGACATAAGGTACAGAAAACAAAAAAATATCTAGCTTTGTTCCCTTATGCATAAAATGATCCTGAAAAATTATACAGGTAACTCTCGAAACCTCGAAGTCGGCGGGACCGAGGAAAAATTTTGAGAGATCAAGAGTTCGAGTTTTCAAGAGTCCGGAATTTTCCGGGTTTGTTGACAGGTTTTAAAATTAGTCTTACCGGATGTAATGATTTTCATGCAGTGCTAACCTTTTACATGTGGTTTTTACAAAACAACGATATTTTTTCGTAATTCAGATGAATATTTCATTAAACTGAGTAAAGTAAAAAATGTATATCATCATATCATGTATATTTATTTATTCTTTGTAATACGGACATCATACTACACATTCGTTACATGAAAACGACATTTTACAGCATTGTACATAGCATTGACTATTCCAAACATGATCATTGAACGCAGTTCTGTAAGTATTTGTCCAATAATAGTCGTCATATTGACATTGAGGCTGTTTCTGCTTTTTTCATATTTCGTTTAACTTTGACACAGACTCGAAATAAAAATTAAATTAGTGTTTTGTCTTTTAATAAATTACTACTTTTCAATGACACTGCATCTCTTAATAATCGTAAGACAGTCGATGATAATTATTTTAATAGCATATAGGCAAAATATGATTCATTATAAATCAATTATCACCTTGCAGCATAAGTGTCACCTGAATAAACATCCTGTTCCTCGAGACCCGCGTCTTCTGCCTGGGGCCATTTAAATGTCCAGGTAAAGGTGCTAATTATATAATCTTGTATACACATAGCCACTTCGAGGTATCGAGGGTAAATTCTAATAGAATATGAATAGCGGGACTGCATTTTGACTTCGAGGGATCAAGGGTTTCGAGAGATCAAGAGTTCGAGAAATCAAGAGTAAATTTGCTTAGTTATATAGTGGAAATATTCGGGACCGGAGACTCACTTCGAGCGATCAAGAACTTCGAGAGATCGAAGTTCGAGCCATCAAGAGTTACCTGTATATCTGTGTGTTATTAATTTACCAGTATATATCTGCTAATGCATCTTCTAGACTAATTTTTTCCTCTCTTCTTAACCATGGTGCACTAAAAATAAAAAATAGCTGGGTACTTTGTTAGTATTATACATTTAAATGTCCAACACAATAAAACCTACAGAGAACAGAAAAAGTATTTGCACAATAACTTGTTAGACTTAATTGTTACATGAGTGTTCTTTTGAACATTTACTGGATGTTTATGCCTGCATGCTTATCGAATTCCTAGTTCTATTATAATCTTAATATCATGAAATTGAAAGAGAAAAATTCTCTGACTTTGTAAAGTTTTCCCTGTCACTGAATGCCAGGATTGTAATATTCAATTCTGTTGACTCAATATCAATAGTGTTATTTCTGGTAGATTTTCCCCCTTTTTTAATTTGAGGACATTGTTATTTAACAATATTTTACTCACCCCTAGGGTCATTACTGGGACTTACCTTAACGTATACTGAGGTGGTGATGTCTTAGGATAATAAGGAGGAAACAAAACCTGAAATATATGTCATTCAAAATTAACATGCCACAAAACTTTCATCCCAGTAATTTTAATGGTTAAATAAACTGAAGAATGATTTTTGTATTGAAGTGTTGAAAGCCTCTTCTAATCAAGCAACTATAACTGCATGTATATGCCATAAGTTTAGAAAGAATTTTTTTGGCAGAATACAAACATGATCTGAGAATTTGAAAGACATCATACATAATTCATTAAATTATGCAGAAAAACAGACTTGAATTAGCTTAATATCATGAACAACTTATAATTTAACTGTTTTCTGTAACTGTTGACAATGACTGGATAATCATGATAATATACTAAAGTAAACTAGAGGTGTTTTAAAAATCACAACCAGTTTTTTTTTTTAATAACAAACCTCCATCAAAATAACATTTTCTGAATTTTCATCTTTGATTTTTATGCAGTAATTTCGTGATTCACTGTCGATGGTAACCCAGTCATCCCCATAAATTGCAGATAAGGCTTCAATTTCTTCATCCTAGAAAATGTATAGACCAATGAGCATCAACATTGTCTTAATAACAACTTATTCTGCAAAAGACTGGACCTGTTAAATGGCTCTTTCTTTCTAATGTACATACAAAACTGGGTTTAATAAAATAGAATAAAAGATGATTTGTACAAGTTAACTTAAATGTAATTTTATGGAGGGAACACCAGTGCTGTGGCATACAAATTTCATTGTAGGTTTACCCTGTTGCTCTTAAAATTATTCAATGTATCAAAGAATAAAGATAACAAGTTATAACAAGAGGCCCATGGGCCACAACCCTCACCTGAGTAACTTTGGCCCTGCTGTTCTTCACCAGGTTTTCCTCCTTGTAATACTTATTGTGGCCCAACCCTACCCCAGGGGTTCATGATTCGAAAAATGTAGAATCTACACTACTCCAAGATGCTTCCACATAAGTTTCAGCTTTTCTGGCCCAGTGGTTCTGGAGAAGATTTTTCCTATATATTTCAATGTAAAAATATGATTCCCTATTGTGGCCCCAACCTACCCCCTATGGCCATGATTTGAACAATTTGGAATCTACATTACCTCAGGAAGCATCCACGTAAGTTTCAGCTTTTCTGGCTTAGTGGTTCTTGAGAAAAAAGATTTTTTAATAACCTCACCCTATTTTGTCCTTTCTTGATTATCTCCCCTTGTAAGGGGAATTGGCCCTTCATTTTAATAATTTAAACTCCCCTTCACCCAAGGATGCTTTGTATTAACTTTGGTTAAAATGGGCCCAGTTATTCTAGAGAAGAAGTTGAAAATGTGAAAAGTTTACAAATGGACAGATGACTGACATCAGGTGATCAGAAAACTTCACTTGAGCTTTCAGCTCAGGTGAGCTAACAAGTCATAAGCACCAGTGACAGATAATCTAATGGCGAGAGCAGTGAGCGGCGATGAACGCCGCTTGCACTGTGAGCTCTAGCGACAAAAAGCCTGGGTGAAAAGAAAATGGACTGTGCACATTCATCCAAACAAATTTTTTTCCGCAGTAACCTCTGGACCCACAATACAATTGCCACAAACTGTTCTCGTGGTAACAACAAAAATTCAACAAGAAAAAAACTCACCTTGATTTAAAGAATATTGCAGATTGAATGCTCTTTTTTTAAAATTAGCATTGTTCAGGCTTTGGTTTGGTAATGCAACTTACATACAACGTCATGAGACATCAGAGTCTAGACGTACCAAATGTTACATGCGGATAGAAGAGATGGATCTAAATTAAATCTGAATAGGTATCTGCACTCGCCCAAACGGTCGCACCATCAACATATTACATGCCAACCTCCAAAGACTTGAAAGGGGGTGATTTGTTTGGGAAAAAAGGGGTCTACATGTATTGTGCACTGTGTGATACAGGTATGTCACAATTTGCACCAGAATTGTTTTCTTATCATTTTTTTTTTGGTCTACTTTCTTTTTCGTTTTACTTTCTTAGAAAAGATTAATTTAATTTCTCCTTTTACAATTATCATTATTTAAAAATTTAGCATGTTACCTGGATTGTTTTATTGTCATCAGTAGACATACTCTACACGGTGAAAAAATATTAAAGGATTCGCTCAAAGACAATATAAACTATGAAACGTTTCCATCTTCTGCCTAAAAACACAAATCGGAAATCAAGATCAGCAGGAAAAATTCAAACTTCCAAATTCGTAATAGAAAGTTTCCGCAAAAAAATATTTCACTAAAAATTTCATTCAATTCATTTGTATTGAAAACAACATAACATTTTTCCGTTGTTATATTATATTTATAAATTATATCAAATAAAGGCCGTTTTTTTTTTTTTTTTTTTTTTTTTTTTTTTTTTTTTTTTGGATTTTTGTTTTGCTTGACCATGATGTATCAGGTTTTCATATTATAATTATTGTTTTACTTCCTGTTCAATCACGCGACCAATGTTTGGATTTTGGGATGACTTGAGAAATGAAAATGGTATGTATTGTGATTAAACTTTGTTATAGGCCCAGTGCAAAATTTGCATCATTTTGTGAAACTGAGTTGCTTGCCTGACTTCCAAGTTAGTCCCAAGGCCGGGATAATGTTTTGCAATGGATTGTAAAGTGAAAGTAGATCTAGAGATGTTTTATATTTCTTCTTAAAATGTTCCAGTATAGGATATACAAAACCGAAAGCTTCTCTACCTCATCTTTGGCAAGCCTTTAAATTTGGTTAATACATGGTATTCTCTCCTCTCCATCTCCTCTAGATAGAATAATCTAACTGTGTCTCGGGACAGGCCCTCACCACAGTTAGAATGCCTCCCATAAACCCGTAATGTAGCAGAAAATTGCAGAATGGCTCCGAAACGATTTTGGAGAAAATTAATGAAGTTGCATTGAAAATAACAGTCATATTAATCATAAGAAACCTTTTTGAGACTGTAAATACCTATCATCTAAAAATTTAATCCATATAATGGAAGAATTCAACACTTTTTCACCAAATTTACACACCATGTTGACATTCGGAACTCTCGGGATTTTTCATAGTAAATGCACTGAGTTAGAGTTATCTCTCGTGTTTTCTTTGCTACATAGACAATACACGGAACGCATTCTATCGTTAAACCAGGTCCGTAGGACATTTATCATTTTAACGATAGAACATTCTATCTACATCTCCTCTTTCGCCAGATGTTCGTTGGGCTCCCCCAAAGTTGTTTCCTTTGTGTGTTCTACTGGAGTGCCTGTCCAGTGATTGAACTAATCCTGGCTTTCATAATTTAAGGCCAAGGCGATAATAATGAAAATTGAGGCAGGCTTGCAGAATCATTTTATTTTATATTTTTTATTTCTTCCATTGTACAGATTTTCTTGTTGACCTGATCAAGTGGTGCAGATTTATCTATTATGCCAAAATAAAAGTCATAAGCAGAGGTCCATTTAAATATATGTATCTCCTACTACACATCCTCGCCCATTTTTTATAACCAAAGAGTCAATGGTGGGGAGGGGATGTTACTTTTTTACAAGTTATATTTTACTGTTAATTTAGTATGACAATGTTCATTGAAAGGCCAGTTGCCCTCTTCCCACTTTTTGTCAAAGTATAGTGAAATTCTCCCATGTTAACTAATTTTCCCTCATTTTATGAAAGAGTTGGGACATTAAATCTCAGCCATCAGTCTGTCAAAATAAATTCAACCTTAATCATTACTTTTGAATGAGTAAAGTCAAGGATTTCATACTGTATTTCACATATGCATTATCTATGACAAAACCTTTCCAAATGAACCATGATTTTTGACCCTGTGACCTTTAACTTGAATTTTGACAGATTTATTAAAAATTTTTTTACATTTCTAATAACTTTTAAATGAGAGAAGAAAAGGGTTTCATTTTTCACATGAGCATAACCTGTGACCTTCCCAAATGTCTAATAATTTTTCACACTGTGACCTTGACATTGAGGTTTGACCTATCTTGTAAAAATTTTGAACATTGGTAATAATTTTCCTATTTTTTATAACTTTCATATTTGTCATGTGCATAACCTGTGAGAAGATCTTTCCAAATATACTATAATTTTTTAGCCAAAGACCATGACCTTGATTTTGACCTACTTTTCAAAATTTCTTTTTGTCACAAAGACTTAAACCTTGTTCAAAACTTTTGAATGACTAAGGATAGCCTTTCTTATTTTAAATGTGCATTACCTGTGACAAGTTCTTTCCAATTGTACCATGACTTTGGCCCCAAGACCTTGGCCTTGAAGTTTGTCCTTCTTTTCAAATATTCTAACATTGGTTTTAACTTTTGAATGCAACAAGACCATCCTGGAATGTACATTGACCTTAAAATTTCACTTTTCAAAAAACGTATCATTGTAATACTAATAGTTTTTGATTAAAAGAGGATTGAGCTTTCATATTTCACATGACATCACCTGTGACAACATCTTTCAAGGAGTACAATCATTTTTGACCTAATGCCATTGACCTTGAAGTTTGACCTCCTTTTCAAGACAAATGAAATTTAGTTGTAGCTTTTGCACCTGAAGAGACAGAACTTTTAAATTTTTACATGTGCAAGCATTACCTTGACAAGGCCATTTCCAATATATGATGAATTTTTTACATCATGACCCAGAATGTTGACCTACTTTTCAAAAAATTAGTTATGGCCTGTTATATTCTTTCTCAGGTGCATTACTTGTGTCAGGACATTTACAAAATCCTTAACTTAACCTTGCCAGTTATCATTGATTACTTCTTGTTCTTAAATTACTGCAGATCTTCTTTAGCAAACCAATGGATCAGCCTTTTTAGAAGACTTGAAACAAATTGTATGTGGCCACATTTCTATGGCACTTTTTAATTTTTGTAGAACATGGCACATTTATTATTTCTGCAATTTAATGATTGTTTTCCTGGTCATTTCAGATCACAGTTCTGCTCACTATTGCCCTTGTTGGGTTTGTAAATTGTGAAGATATTAAGCATGTCCACCTAGTATTCATGAATCACTTAGGTATGTATATATATATATATATATATATATATATATATATATATATATATATATATATATATATATATATATATATATATATATATATATATATATATATATATATATATACACACATCAGTGGATATTTCATTGGCCAGTATTTTGAGAGAGACAAATTCTATTTTAACCATAAATATTTTGTACATCTAACATACATTTTTTTTACATTTCTTTAAATGCACTAAATGAAACTTTGAATTTTCAAATGAAAGAAAGCAGTAGTTAATTAAAGCTGATTATTAAATTATTCCTTGTACCTCATGGTATATACAAATTAACCTTACAATGACCACAAATACCATACATTTGACATTGCAGATGTAGGATATGATGGCTTGCTTCCAGAGGAACTTGGATTTATTAACAATGTTTTAAACAAGTACTTTATGGAGTACTTCCCTCGCTCCATCAACACCTCAGCCACACTGAGAGAACTGGGTTTCTATGAGAAACAAATCTATACAACCCACCCATGGCTTGTCAGGCTGTACTTACACTGTCCCCCAAATCTTGTTCTCTCAGGGATTAAACTACAGGTAAGTTCTCTTAGTGTCTGGGAATTCATGTCATTAAATTCCTAGTAGCAGAAATGTTCTAGTAGATATTAATGCTGGGTTGCCAGAAAAGCCACAATCCCAGTCTTAGCATTGTTTATTGGTCACATTTTTAGCTTACCTGAGCCGAATGCTCAAATGAGCTTTTCTAATCAAAATTTGTCTATTGTTTGTCGGCATTTTCGTAAACCTCTCACATTTTTAGCTCCCTCAACAAAGTTGGGGGGAGCTTATTGATACCGTTGGCATCTACATCAGCATCCCAGGTTAAAGTTTTTGGATCAGTTTTCTTTTCAAGTACTTCTATGCCCTACATTAATCAGATATGCATGGAAAATTCTTCTAGTGTGTTTCATTGTACCAGTCAGGGTTTCAGATGCTGCAATTTCAGCGAAAGAATGACCAGTTAATGTTTTTGGAGCAGGTCTAAGTTTTTAGTGTAGATTAAAGTTTTTGGAGCAGGTTCATTCTTAAGTAACTATAAGTCCTATGTTGACCAAACTTGCATGGATGATACATCTAAGGATGCACACTACTAGGCTTGCTTCGGATACTATCTGACCTGCACTTTCAGGATGAGTGACCAGGTTAATGTTTTTGGAGCAGTTTTTTTCTAAAGTGACTATTTGCCATACCTTGACCAAAATTTCGTGGATGATACAACTAATTCTGATGAATAACATATTATAAAATTAATAATTACCATGCAGTGCCCTAATGAGACAGAGAAGGCAGAGTTTATAGCAGCAGCCAGACGAGGAGACATCACATGGCACGCTGGTCCCATGAATATGTATATGGAGACTATGGACCCACTGATGGTGAGATTTGGTGTACAGCTTAGCATAGACTTAGACAAGGAGCTGGGAATCAAGAGAAAACACCGAACACTCAGTCAGAGAGATGTACCAGGTGAGGCTGTTCAGATGTGAAGCTAGTCTCACTACTCAATCATTTACTGAATATCCATTGATTTGAAAGAGATTGTTTTAAACAATGGATTTTAACTTGATTACCCCATTCCTACATTTCCATGTCAGGATGTGTTTGAATAAGGCAGTTAATCATTGTTCTTTATAAGACATGAAATCACTATTTCAGAGTTTAAAAAAAAAAAGATTGGAAAGCCTATTAGATTAAACAGCTTTTAATTACATGCAATTTTGATAAAGTTCTCTTTACTTTTATTTTTGTTTGCAGCTATGACCCAAGCAGTATTGCCAATCTTGACAGATTTAGGTGTAGAAGCCATAAGTGTTGGGGTGAATACTGTAACAGCCCCTCCCGCAGTTCCTCCCATCTTTAACTGGCAGTTTAAAAACAGCTCTGTAATTGGAATCTGGCACCCAGGTAATTCAGCACAGAGCTGTAATAACTGTACATTAATTGTATGATATAATTCAATATTACCACATAGCCTAGTCAGTAGTTAAAGTCTTTCAAAATACTGTAAACCAATTATTATTTGCTTCATCTTTTATTTGTGATTCGTCCGTTTGAAATCAATCCACAACAATTAATTTTTGCAACTGAGGAAACATTTTCTCTAAATACAAAGCAAAATAAATGATTCGCAGCAATTAATATTCGTGAGTTAGAGTAGGTCGTGAAACTTGCGTATATTTCTCGCACGCAAATAATAGTTGGTTTACAGTAATACAGTAAGAAATACAAATACAAAAAGTGCTACTATCTCTCTATTAGTCCAGATTTGCTGAAACATATGAATAACTTTAGATTGCTATTTCAGGGGGTTACCCAGACAACCCAGGCCCTGTGCCGTCAAAGCCTTATGGTCTTTCTAGAAGGGACTGTGCCACATTCCCAGGGTTTGATCATGCTCTCTGCTTTGCATTCAGAACAGATAATTCTGGACCACCAATGGATTACAAAGTTAGCATTTTTCTTGAGAGTCAGATTTAAGTGTTTTTTTTTTTTAATTTTGTTGGAAATTTAAGTGGTTTCATTTTCAGATTATTTGATTATGGGGAAGCATTTTTGATCAGAATAATTGGTGATCAGTTCTAGCAGCCAACAATTACCAGAAAAAAAAGAAGAGTATGTGACATCTGACCTTTCTGATACTGATCTAACACTGCTTATTGTGATATTGTAGGAGGTCCTTGACACTGCTTATTGTGATATTGTAGGAGGTGCTTGACTCTGCTTATTGTGATATTGTAGGAGGTACTTGACACTGCTTATTGTGATATTGTAGGAGGTACTTGACACTGCTTATTGTGATATTGTAGGAGGTGCTTGACACTGCTTATTATGATATTGTAGGAGGTACTTGACTCTGCTTATTGTGATATTGTAGGAGGTACTTGACACTGCTTATTGTGATATTGTAGGAGGTACTTGACACTACTTTTTGTGATATTGTAGGAGGTACTTGACTATTATGAAATTGTCAGATCCCAGTTCCCAGGAGCTGATGTCCAGTCTTCATCTCTGGAGAACTTTGTACAAGCAGTACAGCCATATAAGTCCAAGCTGCCTGTCATCACTAAAGAGTTTGGGGATACATGGATCCAGGGGTCAGCTTCAGATCCTCGTAAAGTTGCCGAGATGAGGGCAGTATTTAGAGCCAGAAGCACATGTCTACAAACTGAATCAGGTTTGCTTCTTGAACTGAATATGCCATGGTGATATAAGATATGATGCAAAAGCTTTTAGGTGTTTCTTTTTCACTTGCGTTTGAAATTTTTACATTTCTCTTCACAGTTTGCTCATTGTCAGATCCCAGATTTTACAATGCCAGTGTTTTCTTCTTAAAACATGGAGAACACACATGGGGATTAAGTAGTGTGTTTGACAGTCATCATTGGACTAATGAGGAATTCTACCCAATCATGAATAATCTATGTAAGTAAAATTGGCTTATTCAGTAGAAATATATGAAGTACTTACCTTAAATACATTCATTAACAACGAACATGCAAAATGTCTTTATTATACTCTTATTAAATTATATGGGATCATCTATGGGAAGATGTATTTACACACCCCCAACTTTATATTAAATAGCCTTCGGATTTATGAATGGCACCTTGTCTTGGCAAGAGCAGAGAAATTTTACAAACCTTGGACTGGATGCTCTTGGAAATCACACATTGTCCTCAAAGATTGTCCAGCAACTAAATCAGATCCAGGCCAAGAGACCAGATATGTCAGGTCAGAAGAAGCACAGTTACAGCATGACATAAAACTCAGATATGTCAGTCTGAAACATACACATTATCAGCATGACATAAAGCTCACTATGTCAAGTCATTAACAGCATGACATAAAACTCACTATGTCAAGTCAGAATCAAACACATTAACATAGTGACTTGAAACTTGGATATGTCAAGTCCTTTCAAACACATCAACAGCACAACATAAAACTCAGATATGTCAGGTCAGAAACACACACATTGACAGCATGACATTTAACAAAAATATGTCAATTCATTGCAAACATGTTAACAACATGACATAAAATTCAGACATGTCAATATTAGAACAAAAATGTTAATGGCATAACATAAAACTCAGGTATGTCAAGTCCGAACAGACATTAAAAGCATGATGTAAAACTTAGAAATGTCATGTTAAAACAAACATGTTAACAGCATGACCTAAAACTTAGATATGTCATGTTAAAACAAACATGTTAACAGCATGACCTAAAACTTAGAAATGTCATTTAAGAGGGCTGGGTGGTTGTGGCCATTTTCAGACTATATTGATCTCCTTTAGAAGAAGAGCTCCATATAAAGATAAACAAAAATGATCAAATTTTAAAACTAAAATTTATGAAATTTTTGTTTGCCAAATGATAGTTGACAGCTTAAGATATCATATCTAAAAAATTAAGTTATATATGATGGTTAATTTGTTGACCCCCCAGCCTCCTTAAAACAAACTCATTAACAGCATGACATTAAACTCATTTGTCAGATCAAAACAAACATCTTAACCAGTTAACAGGACAGCATGAAACTTAAGTATATCAGGTCAGAAAGTGTAGCATAAAAAAAAAAAAAAATATCTGTCCCATTTGGTTATTTTTAAGAACATGATCTGTTGTCAAATTATATAATGATTCTGTACATTTTGAAAAAAAAAATAGTAGACATAAATGCTTGAAATAGAAGCAGCTATATTTCTAAATTCCACAAAATTCACTATATACGGTAGTTTTATAAAGATATATCTAGCAGGAATATAATTGAAAATACATCGCAAAGTTTCCTTAACTTGCAAATATTGTATTTATGCTACAGTTTCAGATATAAAAGAGCAATTTTGTATTTAATTACCAGTACATTGAAGAAATTAGGTATTGTTGTATATTTTTTTTAAGATTTGGTGTTTCCATCAGGTGATGAAATTCACTTATTCCTGTTGAATGATATTTACAGAATACGTCAACATTGGCGCGTCCTTGGAGGTACAGAAATGTTCTAATGGATTTGAATTTGGATTTGATAGTCAGGGTTCTCTCATACATATGAAAGATCCTGCCAGTCAGGTGAGACTTTGTTTTAAACCCATCAAGTGTGTAAGTGATCCCATGATGCAAGTGCAAGTTATAGAAAAATGTTTACCGGGTAAACATTGTTTATGCTTTAAATGTAAGCTTTTAAATTCACATTCCTATTTGCCATTTGATGCTTAGAGGAGAGTACTAGAATGGTTTTTTTTTTTAAGGCTGTATGGGCAGATAGCACCCACCCATTAGGAAAGTTTGTGTACCAGACTTTGAATCAGTCGGACTTTGATTACTTCAATGAAAACTATCCCTACTCTCCTCGATTTCAATTAGGAATTGGAAAACCAAACATATCAGAATCTAATGCCACTAGTGGATACTGGAGTGTAACCATGGAAGATTTGTTTAAGAGTAAAGGTAAAAAAGATATATATATATTAGGGATGTCAATTTTGTTAATAATTCATATTCGAATATTCAATGAAAGTATTCGAATATATTCGATAAAATAAATAAAATTTGTTTTATTTTAAATATGCATCACCCTACTCTCATGAAGGGTTTAGCATAGGTGTACTTATATTGGAAGTAAAATTGTATGAAAACTTTTGTAGGTGTACAATAAGAAATTCCATTTGATATTTGTCAATGCTTGAAATTAATAACTGATTTAAATGTAGAAAAGAGTCATTTTAACAAACAAAACCTGCGTATTTATAGTAGCTTCAACTGAGGAACCAGTCGTCTTACCAAAGGCAAGATAGTCGTTACAGTATACTGTTTAGAATTCAATACTTGTAATAAATTACAATTATCTGCCTAATAAGAGATATCATAATAATCTTTGATACAATGTTTTTTTAAAATATGAACAAATATTTCCATAGACAATTTTCATAGATAATTAACTAATTTCCCGATAATGAATAAAAAATTCAGGATTATGTACAACCTGAGATAATCAAGTAATTTACACATTTATTCTGAAATTGAGCCCCTTACATTAATTACAGACTAATTCTATCAGACATTCATTCAATGATCAATTAAATTCATTTTGATAAGTATACTCTTCACGTCTTTTAGACATTCTAAGAAGGATTTCCTTTTGTTGTTCTCGATTCTAGATCCAATCGTATCTAACTAATAAAACTATGAAAGTAATTTTTGTATTATACATAAAGCATTATTGTATAATTCTTTAACACCTTACTCAAAACAAAATAATTTAGTAAATCTATAAGATTAGAAAGTGGTGAAAGAAATCAGGCGAAATCGAATTGATCGCTAGTAAATTAAACAGGGATAATTCCAGCACTGTTCTAATCAAAATTTATTTAATCACAGTACTTCTTTTTATGAAATCTGAAAAACACCGAATTTTCGAATCTTAAATTCATATTCGAATATCAACTCATCGAATGAATATTCCAATGTTCGAATATTCGTTGCCATCCCTAATATATATATATATTGGTATTTTTTTTTTGAAACTAAAAAGTATTCCATATTGAAAAAAGATCTGAATTTATCTATGTGTACCAATATGGCTGTTTTACAGAGGGTTGCAGTTTTATTGTACATCTTCAAATGACTGATGTTATGAGTATGTCTAAGTATGGTGCTCCGACTGTGATCTATATTAAGTATACAGGGGTTGCTGCATCCAAACAATTATCAAGTAAGTAGATGTACTGAAAACTAGCATAGATATAACAACATGAAGTTATGCATACAATGGCCTCAATTTTTTTTTAATGTATCCATACATCATGGTCTACATGTTTGTCAGATAAAATGAGGACTAAATGCTATATTTAGGGTTGAAAAGTGTTTTAGTATTAGAGCACTGCAATCAAGTATGGGTGTCCTGTAGTAAGGCCTAAGAAAAAAATGTTTGTTTACAGTTACCAGACCAACCCAATTTTTTTGCACAGACCCAATAATTTTTTTTTTTTTGGTAAAATCCAGAAAATGCATATATGTCTATACTTCCTCCTTCAAATGTGATGGTTCAGAGGTCCTAAAGTCATTTTTAAGTAGCAATTTTTATAGCTGTCGAGTACATTGTAAAACAGAAGATATTTTATGGCTAGAAGAAGTTTTAACTGTCTTAAAGGACCCTCTATATACCAGTGCAAATTGTTTTTAGACTTGAGAAAATTCAGTTGTATAAAGGTGTAACTGAGCTTATCTATTGAATTTTCAACATAAGGTACCTGGCATTTATCCCTAGGAAAATGTTCAAAGAACGAAAGTATCAATAATCAGAAATCACTGTTGCTTACTTCAGTGGCAAATACATGTAAATAAGGAGTTAAGAATACTTGAATTGTGTACAAATTGAGCAATACAAGGTAGATTTCAATTTATTTGAATTTAGTTCTAAGGGCAGATCACTCAACTGCAGATAAAAACCCACACAGAATTAGAACTCTGTAGTGTGCAGTGTATAGAGGGTTCTTGAAAATTCTATTTCAAAGCTAATGCTTTTATATTAAAAAAATTAACTAAAAAAATACAAACAAAATATTTTCTACTGGCCCTATTTTAAAATTGGTATGTAAAAGTAAACAAACATATTTTGTTCATAGGCCTTATCACTGAGGCTGTCAACACTTTATATATAAGCAATAATTACAAGCTCCTTGTGTTTTTAAGAGGTGGATAATGCCTTGGAAAGGGGACCCTTATAGATCTTACAATCTCAGTCAAAGGTCAACATCAAATCTAAAGATTATTTTTTGATTAACACCAAAGCTTCAAGACTATTGATATGATTATTGCTGATGCATTCATAAACTTTGTATACTAGTATATGTACATAAGGTATAAACTTTGTATACTAATATATGTACATAAGGTATAAACTTTGTACATAAGGTATAAACTTTGTATACTAGTACATGTATATGTACACTAAGTTGAAAGAGGAAGATGCTGGTATATTTTGTATTCATGAAAATGTCAAGATTAGAATGGTATATTTTCATATGAATTTATTTACACACTTCTTTGTGGTACAAAAGGTTGAGCACTGGACGTCTATTTCAACATGTACTACACATTAAAAGATATCTCTATAGATTCCGAGTCCAACTGCTCAAAGTCAAGGTAAAAAAGGTCAGTGCATTGTTCTAGCTAGGTAATTATAAGATTTTGAAATGTTTTATACATGGTTTAATTATCCTTGTTATGTTCTAGGTATTGATGTTGAGGTCCAGTGGTTCCAGAAGCCTCCGACACGGATGCCTGAGTCCATTTATTTTATGTTCCGACCAATCAGTTATCCAAAACTGTCCTGGAAAATTCATAAAGTAGGACAGTTTATTGATCCACTGAACGTCATTCTGAATGGAAGCCAAATTCTACATGGTGAGTTTTCTAGACAGTCTAGGCTTAGTTAGAGAAATGATGGGTTGAAAATTAAAATTTCATAAATCCCATATCCTAATTAAGATTTTTATGAATGCTGTCTTTAATATGAGATGAAAGATTTAAAGTTTACATATTTAAAATGTAATCCTTAATTACAGAAATACTGTTAAAAAAATATAAATTTCAAAGTTTTTAGTGGTTGAAATTATTATCTCCTTGCAGCTGTAGACAAGGGTGTATATTATACAGACAGCAGGAACTCTGGCTTCTCCATCGAGTCACCAGATGTCGCTGTTGTCAATGTACTGACACCTGGTAGCAAGCCAAGTGTCATACCTGTACCATTAAAACCAATCAAAGCTGTAGATGGAGTGGCTTTCAACTTGTTCAATAATGTCTGGGATGTGAACTTCATCTTCTGGTATCCATTTGAAAAACGAGATAAGGACCAAAAGTTCCGTTTTAAACTCAATATATCCCCGTCTTAATTTCTGTTGCCACGGTATTCTGGAATCTGTGATATTTATGTTTTACATTCCCATTGATTATATATAACTACAGTATAGAAATAATATCAGTGTTAAAGCAAGTTGCCTCAATTAAATTTTAATGATTCTATATTTGTATAATATATATTAATGTGATTTTCATCTTGTTGATTAATTTTCAGATTTCTTTGATTAGTGCATTAATAGCAACAACAAAAAGAAAACTGAAAAGATAGATAGTTAGCATGTACATGTATATCGTTTGCATTAAGACTGTGTTCATTTGACTCATGAATTAGTTATTTTCACTATTGTGGTTAGTTACCGGACCTTAGGAGTATGTTGATTGTTCATTGATGGCTGATCTCTTTATTAAACAACAAGTGATTTGTATATCTTTCTTATGTTTGAATTCTGTTCATAAGTTTTTCATATATTTCATATACAAATATGTGTTATTCATGCATATAGTGTTGATTTAAATCATTGATTGATTATCCTTCATACCTTTGTAATGATTTTGTGTTTATACACTAGCTCCTTTACATATTGAAATTGTCTCTTTGACAAAACCATCATGTACTTACTAGGAAATAGGATAGATATAAAGGTACTTTTTTTTCATCAAATATCACCAGTTACTTTTAACTTTTAACTGTTGTAACTCAATACTTGTAATATTCACATGGAAATTGGAGTGTGTTAATTTTGTTCGTGTTTTTATTGTGCAAATATCCGACACATAGTAAGCATGTGTTCAGAGCTGAAATCCTATTCCTACAAAATTAATAAAAATTTTAAGTTATAAATACATATTTTCATAATAAATGAATCTGTGAATCCACGTTGAATGTGTTGATGTTATTTAATGAGCTAATGTTTACATCACCCCACCCCACCCCCACTTTTTTTTTTTCTAAAGATTAACGAAATCATTTTTATTAAAAAACAACTTAATGAAAATAATTTTGATGAAAAAAAAATCTAAGAAAAGGTACACTTTCAAATAACAATATATCATATATAGAAAATGATTTTTTTTTTTCTGGCATCATTTAATCATGCCATTAGGATGTTCATAATACTAATAGTAAAATTTCTTTGTTTAAATTTAAGTAGTCACCACACTTTTTAGATGTGTGTACTTTTTATGGAAAATTAATGCTAAAAGTTTTCTTTGACTCCAAAGAAAGAATTATCTTGTATAACGTTAGAGTGCCACAGTGTCAGTCTGTTCATTCATCTCTCTAGGTTTTTTTTATTTCCCAGTATCAAGATGCAGGTGTCCAATTGTAATCACAGCGTCAATCCATCCATCCAACCATAGAATGAAAAAAAGTTGACCAAGCACAGATCTGAAGGCCAAAAGGTATTAGGGTTTTGGTTTTTTTTACATATATAAAAATAAATTGTTCAATTTTTTCTTGTTTGGAATTTACTATTTTTATTAAAACTAATAAAAACACAGTTTTTATCAACCATTTAAGAAATCTGAATTTATTTAACTCATTGGTTCAAATTTATACCAAGTTTGTAATTATAATTCAATTAGTTTATTGACCAATTAACCTCATCACACGCACTTGTTTCGGTAATAATTTATATGGGTTAAAAATGTCATGGGGCAAAAAAGAAAGTACATTGTAAATACTTACATGTAATACAGTGTAAATACACATTATAAGAATTATTACATAATTACTATAAAAAAGATGAATTATTATATTATGAATATACATTGTATGAATAAATTATCGTACGACTTGCCTCATCGCCCACAGTCTGCTACTTTCTTTTTTGGATAGATCGAAGTATCATGGCTGGAACTATTACGTATCGACTTTTACGGGGTTCAAGATCAGTGAAAGTAACAACTTCAGATAATTTGTTGTGTTTAGTTTGCTTACATAACAATTATAGACGATTTTCTAGTGAGAATGGCGCATTAAAATTTCTCAAGGTAGCGAAGAAAGACAGAATAACTGAAAGGAGAGAGCGAAGCGTTTCTCTCGTTTCCAGCATCTCAAGTGCTGACAAATCCACTCGATACGGTATTATTTACAAGTTACCCCTGTTCTGAAAATTACAATCTACTTAAGTATTTTTTTAACACTAAATAACATTAGCATTTCAAGAGTGCGAGGCTTGGGATATTTGTGGATACTAGTACAGTATTATACAATTTATAGCACAGACACTTGTTTCTGTAATAAAAGTTTTCACCCTTAATAACTAGAGGCACTGTGAGCACTAAGCTCACAACTTGATACATGTACCCCAGGCCGCTCCCATATGAGTATAATGGCAAAGTCCTTATTTTGCTATGGGAAAGCCCAAATGTCTGTACGATCAAAACAATAAGTAGGAGGTCACAATGGCACCATTTTGTGAGTGTATAGTGCTCGCAGTACCTCTAGTTTGTTATTGACACATCAAACATTTTTATTTTGCATGTAAAGAGAACCTGTAAAGAGAAATGAGTATATATGGTATGTTACTTTCTTTTACAGAATTTCAGAGAGCTTACTGTACAACCAAACCTCCTGATGTATCGGAGATTAGGAATATTAACCCAATGGGAAACATACAGTCAAAAGTGTATTATTTTGACACTTTGGCAGTTGTGCAGAAACTTGTGGCAGAGGGTAAGTTAGGCTCAAAGTAATATTATTTTAGAACGTTCTTTGATTGTGTAATATTACATGAAGTGTACGTATCATTTATAAGAATTATTATGCAGTTTCTGGTCAGTAAAAAGCATGTTTATTACTCCAAGTAGTGTGTTGATTGAAAAGAATAACTCCTAGTTTTAAAGTCCAGTATTCTGATCAAATTCATTTCTGAATGATAGAATTTATTTTTTAAACTCATCTGAGATAATACGAGATTTTCTGATTCATAGGAGTGAGTCTCGCTTCTGTCTGTCTTCCGTCCATTTGTTTGTTCAGATCTAGGAGAAATGAGACTGGGAGACTGTTGCACACAAAGACTTTGTTTAAAGATAGATTTTCATCTGTCTAAAGTGTAAATCTATGTTTGGGAGATTTACATGTACAACTTCATTCAGTTAATAGTCTGGTATCCTTGGTGGCAAAGACTTTTAGTAGGAATGTACATGTAGTAAAACTGTCATAAAATTTAGGTTTTAAATGTACTACATTCACCCTAAAAAGTCTGCCACCAGGGATACCAGCTAGACTCTTCCTTAAGTGGTTTTTAAGCCTGTCAGTTGACTTGAATTAATGAGAAAAATAAAAACAAAACAAAAAAAGCCATCTGAGAGTGGAATTTGAACCCTCTGTGCATGTTAGATGCTCAACCCATTTAGGTAGCAGCCGATTCATCTCAAGTGCAATTGTTTTATGCAATAATGAAGTTCTGTATTCTTTTTTTTTTTTTTTTTGAATGAAAAAGGCTTTACAGAGAGCCAGGCAATAGCAATAAAAGATATTGTACAGGAAGTCCTGCATTCCTCCATAGACCACCAGACAAAGGTTCTAGTTACTAAGGCACAAATGGTACGTAATCGCAACAAAACATTCAGCAGAGGTGAATAATTTGATTATTTCATAAATGCATAGATGGAGTTATTCTCATTGGAACCACAAAGAGTTTTTAAAAAACACAACTTTTTGATGAAAACCAGGTCCAACCACAAACCTTGGAGATCCTACACTTATGCAGCAATGTTATTATTTTTTAGATTTATAAGACCTTTTGTCTGTGCTATGGTTAAAAAAAAATGATTTGTATATTTTAGGAAATAACAACCCAGCAAATGATGACCCATATAAACTCAGTAAAAAAGGACATGGTAATACTAGAGAAGAGCGAGTTTTCAATGCTGAGAAGTGAAACAGAAGTAAGTCTTACAAGTTGATAGTGAAATAGATGCATCATTTAGATCATCATTTTGTTTAATGTTGATAAGAACATATGTTCTAACAAATGTTATCAATTTTCATTATTATCTTGTACAAAGAGTGGCTATAACTATTTTCTGAATGACATTTAATAATTTTTTAGAAGCAGACAATGGAAATACAACAGCTAAAGAAAGCCTTAGAAAATGAACTGGATAAACTTAAGGGACATGTGAGACTGGACATTAATCTGGAGAAAAGTCGAGCAACTGAAGCAGTACGAAAAATGTTTTCTTCAAGCTAAGCCTGTATTTCAAGGAAAAAAACATGTTATTTTTTTTCTTTTCTAGCTTAACTCAGTCATATTCCTCAAAATGAGAATTTGTTACATAGATACAAGAATCCTTGTGTAGTGTAGTTAAATACAATTTCTTCATATTCTTTTGGTGAAATTTTACAGAAGTAGGTCAGACTCCAAGGTCAAGAGGTCAAATTTGTTGGTACCCAGTGAAAGGTTTTGTCACAAGAAATACACATTTGAAATATGAAAGTCCTAGAACCAACCATTCAAAAGTTATGGGCAAGGTTAAAGTTTTTGCAGACGAACAGATTAACAGACAGATGGACAGAGAGACAAGAACTATACCTCGCCCCCCAAATTTTTTTCCATTATGAGTACGAGGGAATAAAAAGAATTTTTAAATTCAATTCAATTCACTTTATTGACAATTACCATGTCGGCATACAGTCATGACATAAAACGAATTAACAAGAATAATACATACATATACAAAGTGACAAATGTGAGTTGAACAAAACAATGTAGAGTATATTCACATATTTCTAAGTATTCATTGCTGACTTTCTTTTCTGGTGTCAAAGCACTTTTTCAAAAAACAACATATCCTTCTAGCAGTTGTAATATTTGTAGGATTGACAATTTTTCTAATGGGATTATCACTAGTATATGTGTTTACATTAAATATATCAGTATAATTGCATCTAAATTGGTCATACTTTGAACAGTATAGAACAAAATGTTTTTCATCTTCAATAAATAATTTACATGAATAGCATAAACGTTTTTCTCTAGGAATAGGGGGTTTACAGTATCTGCCCGTTTCAATATACAATGGATGGGCACTGATCCTTAATTTTGTTAATACAGATCTAAAACTTTTCTTTAAAGGCAGCTTTAAATAACTTTGCAATTTGTATTCATTTTGAATTACAATTTTACTATAAAAAGCTAACTTTCCAGAGTTTGATTTGCTTATATTTTTCAGTTGTTCATGTATCTTGTTTTGGTAATGCTCTTGTAATTTGTTTTTCAAGGTTGTGTGAGAAATATCCAAAGAAGTGATATTTAATTTTTGTAGTAATGAAGACAGTTTTCTTTGCCAAGATATTCTAGATACAAGTTTTTTGTCTTCTTTAAATGCAGAAATCACTAAATAATTATTATAATCATGTTTGTTATAATAATTATTTAGTGATTTCTGCATTTAAAGAAGACAAAAATTTTTTTTTTGCATGTGTAGTTAAACAGGGTCAATAAGGGGAGGGGGGCATTTTTTAGGAATATTAAAATGGAAATGAAAAATGTGGTTCATAAGGCTGAAGGTGTTTTTCTACATAGTGGTAGTTGATTGTTCTCAGAATTTTAAAATTTGTTTGTCTTTTTTCTACATTAATTTGGTGATACAATAAAAACTTAATAATCTCTTACTAGAAAGTTTGTGTTTCATTCAAGCTAAATCCAGGAGGCTTTAATTTTTTTTATAAACCAAAGTAACATTGTGTTTCTCCAAATTAAAATTACTTGAACAGAATATTGAAATTTATTTTTTGAAAATTCCTTTAACATATATATTCAATTTTGAATTTTCGAAGAATATTTTTGTTTAATGGTGATTTTTTTTTCTTAAAGCATGCTCAAAATGAGAAGAACCTTCAGATGCTCCACAACAAAATAGAGACAGATGTGGCAAATGTCAGAACATTATTTGAATCCTATAGAAATGATGTTATCAAGTACTCAATAGGTAAGAATCCTTAGAAAAGGGTATGATAAGCAAACTTTAAAACAAATGAAAAAGATTAAAATTATGTCATTTGGTAAGTTGGTGACAGAAACAGATTAAATTCCTGTATTCTTCTACTCTGAACCTCAGTTTTCATCCTATCCACACTTCTACTCTGTACCTCAGTTTTCATCCTATCCACACCTACTCTGTACCTCAAATATTCTGCCATCCACACTTCTACTCTGTACCTCAAATATCCTGCCATCCACACTTCTCCTCTGTACCTCAGATCTCCTGCCATCCACACTTCTACTCTGTACCTCAGTTTTCATCCTATCCACACCTACTCTGTACCTCAAATATCCTGCCATCCACACTTCTACTCTGTACCTCAAATATCCTGCCATCCACACTTCTCCTCTGTACCTCAGATCTCCTGCCATCCACACTTCTACTCTGTACCTCAGATTTTGTCCTCTCCACACTTCTACTCTGTACCTCAAATATCCTGCCATCCACAGACTTCTACTCTGTACCTCAAATCTCCTGCCATCCACAGACTTCTACTCTGTACATCAAATCTCCTGTCATCTACACATCTATTCACTTTCAGTTATCTCAAATTTCCTGCCATCCATACTTTTATTCTGTTTCCCAAATCTCCCCATATCCACACTGCTATTCTGTACCTTAAATATCCAAACTTCTACTCTGTACCTCAGATCTCCTCCTTTGAACACCAGTATTTTTGTTTATTCAAATTTAATACATTAATGGCAGGTTTGCATAAATTTCCAATCATAATACATGTACAACTTGTTAGCAATTCTTTTGGTATTGTTAACTTTATTCACTTTATTTTATAAGGGAAATGTTTGAATTGTTCACTGCCCTATATTAATATCTCTGTAGCCTCATTATGACATCACCTTAGCGTGAGTTTCTCTGTGTATATTCCTATGTGTAAGTATGTACATGAAAAGGGCATTCAAATCAATTTCACAGTTGACTTGCTTAAAAAAAAACAGCAAATGTAAATATGTGTATGTGTTGTGCAGGAATTGTAAGGAAGTTGTTATCTTTCAGGGACTGCTTTGACAGCTGGAGCCACAGTCTTAGCAGTAATGCGCCTGTTGATTTAATGACCAGATATTGTTAACCTCTCCACCCTAATAATAAGTGACCAATGGAAATGCTGGATAATACCAATGTATCAACTATAAATAAATAAGGAGAATAAATCTATGAAAACTTAAAATGTCTGATTTTATTCACATGTACTTCAGTTTTACAATTATTTTTTTCTAAGAGAAATTCTTGTTGGGCATATGCTCCAAAACAAATTCATGATATTAACCAGTATTCGTATTATTTACAATACAAGCAGAGTGATCCAGTACCTCATTCTTCTAAGTGTCAAGCATGTTATATTTAAAGTTGTTAGTTCTGGAGAGGGATAGCAAGAGGGAATGTTTTTAAGAAAGGGAGCAGAAGACTACACAGTAAATATAAAATAAATACTCCTCATTCACACATCATGTACATTCCTCCTAAACTTCTGTACAAAACACCCACACTAACACAAATGATTTAAATGTACAGTCACCTGATTTTCATTCTTCTGTATAATATTAAAATCTAAATGTTGTCATCATAAAATGTTATTTTCTACTTTTACCATTTATCCTCTCATCTATTACAAAATTAGAGAAATTCTAAGTAACGCATATATGTATGTATGTGATATAAAAAGCATGAATATTGTTCTGAACTTGTGCATGTCTCTGACACGCTGTATGTGGATATTGCACTGGAAAGTCTCTGTGGTCTGTCTAATTAAGACTGTTTACTACGGACATCTTTGTCATATTTCTCCAGGAGGACAGACTTGTATGTTTCTTGGTTTTGCCACAGGGCAGCAGCATCAGCGTTGAGAGGACTGTCATTGTTTGGCTCTGTGAAAGTAAAAATAGGAAATGTAACAAGTTTTGCTCTGTGAAAACATGAAAACTTTCAATGTTACACTCAACTACATGCAATATTTGTATAATAACAATCCAAAGAGTTCCAAAGGTCAATTTGGCATGTAAATACTAAGCAAGTTAAAAATTGAAAAAAGAGGCCAATGGGCCACAATGCTCACCTGAGTAACTTTGGCCTTGCTGTTTTTCACCTGATCCCCCCTTGTAGTACTTATTGCCCCCCCCCCCCCCCCCCCCCCCCCGGTCATGATTTGAACAATTTAGAATCTACACTACCCCATGATGCTTCCACATAAGTTTCAGCTTTTCTGGCCCACTGGTTCTTGAGAAGAAGATTTTTACTACATATTTCAATGTAAAACTTGGATTCCCTATTGTGGCCCCGCCCTACCCCCAGGGGTCATGATTTAAACAATTTAGAATCTACACTACCCCAGGATGCTTCCCTATAAGTTTCAGCTTTTCTGGCCCACTGGTTCTTGAGAAGACGATTTTTAAAGATTTTTACTACATATTTCAATGCAAAACTTGGATTCCCTATTGTGTGGCCCCGCCCTACCCCTGGGGGTCATAATTTGAACAAGTTAGAATCGACACTACCCCTGAATGCTTCCACATAAATTTCAGCTTTTCTAGCCCAGTGGTTCTTGAGACGAAGTTTTTTTTAAAAGATTTTTACTACATATTTCAATGTAAAACTTGGATTCTCTATTATGGCCCCGCCCTACCCCCCGGGTCATGATTTGAACAATTTAGAATCTACACTACCCCAAGATGCTTCCACATAAGTTTCAGCTTTTCTGGTTCTTGAGAAGAAGATTTTTTAATGACCTCAACCTATTTTTGTCTTTTCTTGATTATCTCCCCTTTGAAGTGGACGTGGCTCTTCAATATTTTAACAATTTAAACTCCCCTTCACCCAAGGATGCTTTGTACCAAGTATGGTTAAAATTGGCCCAGTGGTTCTTGAGAAGAAGTTGAACAAGAGGCCCATGGGCCACAGTGCTCACCTGAGTAACTTTGGTCTTGCTGTTTTTCACCTGATTCCCCCCCCCCCCCCCTCCCCGGTAGTACTTATTGTGGCCCCATCCTACCCTCGGGGGTCATGATTTGAACAATTTAGAATCTACACTACCCCAGGATGTTTCCACATAAGTTTCAGCTTTTCTGGCTCAGTGGTTCTTGAGAAGAAGATTTTTAAAGATTTTTACTACATATTTCAATGTAAAACTTGGATTCCCTATTGTGGCCCCGCCCTACCCCTGGGGGTCATGATTTGAATAATTTAGAATCTACACTACCCCTGAATGCTTCCACATAGGTTTCAGCTTCTCTGGCCCACTGGTTCTTGAGAAGATTTTTAAAGATTTTTATTACATATTTCAATGTAAAACTTGGACTCCCTAGTGTGGCCCCGCCCTACCCCCAGGGGTCATGATTTGAACAGTTTAGAATCTACACTACCCCAGGATGCTTCCACATAAGTTTAAGCATTTCTGGTCCAGTGGTTCTTGAGAAGAAAATTTTTAAAGATTTTTACTACATATTTCAATGTAAAATGTGGACTCCCTAGTGTGGCCCCACCCTACCCCTGGGGGTCATGAACAATTTAGAATCTACACTACCCCAAGATGCTTCCACATAAGTTTCAGCTTTTCTGGTTCTTGAGAAGAAGATTTTTTTATGACCCCACCCAATTTTTGTCTTTTCTTGATTATCTCCCCTTTGAAGTGGACGTGGCTCTTCAATATTTTAACAATTTAAACTCCCCTTCACCCAAGGATGCTTTATACCAAGTTTGTTTAAAATTGGCCCAGTGGTTCTTGAGAAGAAGTTGAAAATGTGAAAAGTTTACAGACAGATGGACGGACAGACGACGGACAACGGGTGATCAGAAAAGCTCACTTGAGCTTTCAGCTCAGGTGAGCTAAAAAGTGAAAAGTTTACAGACGGACGGACAGAAGAGGGACAACCGGGTGATCAGAAAAGCTCACTTGAGCTTTCAGCTCAGGTTAGCTAAAAATGAGTTGAATTTTCAATTTATGGATTTTTATTTAGGTTAAAAGGCCTATACAAGCTCAAAAAGGTTTATAATAATTTGGTAATAATTTTATAGTTATTTTCAGTGCAACTCCTTTTGTATTTCTTCAAAATCATTTCCAGGCGGAACCGCTCGGATTTGCTACATTGCAATTATATGGGACGTATTCAAACTGTGGTGAGGGCTCGTCCCCAGACACAGTTGGATTATTCTAACTAACTGGAAGATAACTATTTTTGCTGGTGACTTGAAAGAAATAAGAAAACATGGACCTTTTTTTCCATATTTCTGAAATACAGGTAAACTTCGATATCTTGAACTTGGCGGGACTGAGGAAAAACTTCGAGATACCCGAGTGTTCGAGATATTGAAGTTGATGAATTTGGTACCAATATTGTTATGTTACATGTTCTGTTAACAGGAAATTACCCCCCCCTCCACCACGTGCATAATTTAAGCGGTAAATGTTTCAGTTCGTACTTAGTGATATCTTTTTAAAAATACATTTACATATACAATTATAATGCATATATTATTTTATTCAATACTGCAACACTTATATTTAAATTTTACAAATTTCAATCGCTTTTAATTAATAGCGATAATCATGCTGGTTTCAGGATTTCTGATACCCGGATATGTGTTATGCTTTGTAAATGATAAACCGATCACTGTAGTATGGATTAAGACGGAAATAGGAATTATCGTTCTACAATAATTTATTGAAATTGCCAATATGCATAAACAAAAGCAAACTTTGTTTCGATTGTATGAACTTTAAGTTTTCTTTTTTACACCATGGTCAGATAATCTACCTATCCCCCGGGTTGGCTATCGGGTACTTCATTAGATTGCCTAATCAGACATGATGTGTACTGAAGATTTAGATTTTTGGTTACTCAAAATAATGTCTTTAATTGTTTAATTTCTTGAGTTCAATATCACTTTGATGTGTTCAGTGTTTACTTTGATATGTAATAATGTGTATAAGCGTGTATTTTCGATAAATTTTAATTCCTATTACAGTAATCGTCCCGAAGCTGCTGTTTCATTATCATGTCATCATATCTCTGAGTGTGCATTTTATTAACACCTAGAAATCACCTGGCCTGCGTAATTAAATTTAACTACCAAAAACAACAGCTTGGGGCTAATACGGTGTGATTATCAGCAAAGGTCCCATGAAGCCTGTGCTAGACCTAACAGAAAGGTTCAACAGACCGTAAAATTAGCATAATCGGATTATTGTGTACTAAGGTGTGAATTCAGCGGAGCAAGAAATTTGTTGGACTTCGAGATAACGCATGTGTTTATATAGCACTTGAGACTGTAAATCTACTTCAAGATAAGCGAGGTATTCGAGATTTCCGTGTTCGAGATACTGTTTTTTTTTTAAAATCACAAATATAATAAAAACGGCCGGGACCATCGATTCACTTCGAGATATCCGTGGTATTCGACATATCGGTATTTGAGATACCGAAGTTTACCTGTATATTCCTGAACCAAATGGAAATCTAGAGGAAAAAATCTTTTTCTCTAGAAATTCCAGGCCACATACACAACGAGATCTTCAAAAACACATTTTACACCATCCTGAAACCGAGTCCCTATGCTCCTCACAATACAGCTATATTAAATATTACCTCCTAAAAGGCTCTGAATGGACAGAAGTATTGTTCGGACATCGTACAGGGCTGACCATTTCTCTTTGAGAATGTCTAGACAGATATTGCCACTCTGATCAACATTTGGGTGATAGCAGGGAGTGTCGAACTTCACTGTAGGGGCCTGGTAAGGGTAGCTACTAGGAAACTCCAATGTCAGTTTGTATGTTAGTCCTTCATAAACCTGGAAAAATACAATATTCAGGTTGTGTCATCAAATACAGATTGTGTCATTTCACTATAAAGCTATCAAAGATACTCTCTTTCACATGTTTCCAGTTTTTTTGTTTTTTTTTGGGGGGGGGGGGGGGGGGGGGGAGGGGCAAGTTATGAATTCAATACAAAGACAATCCTTACAAAAACAAATTCAGTACTGGTAGAGTTTGTGATATGTAATATAAATGGGTCACCCAAAACTAAGCTGTATCATAGACATTTGATGGTACTGCTAGTTAAGTAGGGTTTTGTGATATGTATTAAATATAAACTGAGCTATATCGTTTGAAGGTACTGCTGGTGGGGCTTGCTTACCGTTCCAGTGGCTCCTGTCAGAGTTGCAATCCATTTGAACAAATTATCTCCATCTGGAAAAGCTGAAATACCTGGATCCCCTTTAGTCTGTAAAATATAAAAGTTATCTCTTTTATCAAAACCCATAATTACCAACCTGCAGATTCTTTTTAAAACTTAATTAAGTTTTGACTGCATATTGTGTGGGGTTAATAACTGACTTGTTTTAATGATACAGTTTAGAATCTCTATTTGTCCAGTCATTGTACGAGATCTGAGTGACAGTACATCAACCCATTTATTACAACCTATACTCATTCAAAATATTAAGTTACATATGTCCACTTCAATAGTTACTCACCCTGCATGTCTATCCAACTACATCTGTATCACAAATCTTTCCAAATCAATAATAACATAATACTAGAGACTTTGCAAGAGTCAGATAGCATATTGGACTATGATTTAATGCAAGAGTTTGTATTCAGAGGATGCATTGTCTAAGGTGTCTTTCAAAAGATTTTTAAGGGTTTTTAGTTCACTATTGGATATTTAAACTACTTTTTACAGATCTGTCCACCCTTTTTACTTCATACAGAGCTGGTGTAATCTAAATCCTCATTTTGGTGGTATTTTAGAGACATAGGCATTGTTTTTCATATTTACTTATTTTGATATTTCACTTGGATTCTACATTATCTTTACCAGACTCTGTGTTGTATATCAAATATATTTATATCATATTATTTTCAAATCATTTATTGACATGTGCTGTGTGTTACAGTTCTGAAAGCCATCTTATGATAATTAATTTTCTGTATTGCACTCTGAAAGAACTATAGTATAGCCCATAGTTTAAACATACTGTCTCTACATATTAGTAGATCAACTTAACCTCAAAATAACAACATTTTTAACATGTTTAAGAAACATTTTATAAGCGCTAAATTAATATTTATGGCGTACTAGCATAATTTGTTCATAAAAAACAGAAGAAATGTACAAACAGTGGAAGGGTAGGCAAGATCTGTTAATACAGCATGCAAGTATACTGTATGTGTACAAAATTTAGTGAATCATTGGATCTGGAGTTGTTGGAGAAATCATGAATTAGCGCTTTACATATCCCTGCCGTATATTGTATTTATAAATGATTTCTTAGTGGCATTCATGAATTAGCACATCGTTGTCTGCACAAAGCCGCTAAAATATGAAACCCGCTTTTTTTTAAGTACACATACAGTATGTCAAATATGAAGTGCAGTATTTCATACTCATATATTTGTTAACTTACCAAAAGGGTCATCAGCTCTTGTTGAAGTCTGAAATTATACAAAGAATTTTTAATCATGTAATCACACCAGACAAACGAAGATCATAGTACACATCACAATGCTGAACACGAGGGCAGTCTATAAACTTCCTACTGATAATGTATAAATGTCAAGTATGTGTTACTTTTAAATCATGATTAAATATCATTGTTAAATTTAATATATTTGCAGTTAAACCATTTCATACATACTATCAGAGCCATAAATTAAAGGTGCTTAGACACAGATTTGAACTTAATATTTTCTCAAATTTTCTGTATAATATCACGACATATATTGCAATAGCATTTCACACGAAAATATAATTAAAAACTTATTTTATCTGGAAATTATTGGAACTATGAATTCTGGGTCGTGTTTGATTAACACATCTTTGCACTTACACAAATTTTAACTTTATCCTTAATATTTAAGTTTGTTATGTATTAAAGAAAAATATTACATCTATAATCCAGAAAATTCAGAGTAGAAATGTTCAAAATCAAAACCAACTCACCAGTATTGTCAGTCCGTGCTCTGTGATGTGTACAGAGTTTAACAAATTGAACACACCCGTGAAACGTAAACTGTTTTTGTAAACAGGGCACGAGCTCTGTTATTGTTAATGTCTACGATTCACCGGGTGTGTTCAATTGTTAAACTCTGCACACACCACTGAGCACGGACTTGCAATACTGTGAGCGGGTTTTGCTTTCGAACATTTCTACTCTGAATTTTTTGGATTATAGTTTTAATATTTTTCATTAATACACAACAAAATGCCACTTTTCTTAAGTATTAAGAATAAAATTAAAATATGTGAAAGCGCAAGGATGTGTCAATCCAACACGTCTAGAAATTCGAAGTTTTAATAACTTCGAGATGAAATAAGATTTTTATTATATTTTAGTATGAAATGCTATAGCAACATATAAGTCATGAAATTATACAGAGAATTTGAGAAAATATTAACTTCAAATCTGTGTCCAAGTATCTTTAATGTCAGTTCACAGTTAAAAAAAAAACAAAATAAAAAAACATATAAATGGTCATATGGACTAAAGGGACTCGTCTTGAACTATCTGTGTTTTTACATTTTGACCATATATTGTGGGATGGTTAAAATAAAAAGTAAGGACACAAATAAATCTTGACGAACTAAGATCAGCTGAAGACAGACAGCAAGCAAAATTGCACGCATACAAACCGTTTGCTAACTGAGTGGTTGTCTCGTGCTTGTCCTGAGCTGCTAGAAACATCTTTATTTCTTGTTGTTGTTGAGGCAGAAGGGTTTGTATTCTGTGTAGCCATTTCAGTTTTGATAAAATATTCTCAAATTATTTGCAAGATGTCCTGACTTGCTTTCGGTTTAAAATTTGCGTCAAATGTGTACAGCCAATGAGATGTTGCAAGAATACTGCGATGAACCAATCGTATTCAATGTTTTATATCATCGGAAGTTCTCGTGGAACATCATAGGACACCTGTCATATTGTTTCCCGATGGGCGGATCTAAGAATTATTTGAACGATGGTATTCTATGATATCGTTACTGTGGAAAAATTATCGATAAATTGTCAAACCGTTGACATGGTTGAATTAAGTAGGAACAAAGCCAAAATGTTGAAGAATAAAACTAATCAATGTAGAATTACATTTTTTTTTTGATAATTTCAATCCCATTTTTTGACAACACCATCATACATTGGCATATAGTCATGAATACAACAAACAATAACATACATAAAATCAATTATTAAATGTTCAATGTTACATGAATTAAACCCCCTCCCCCCTTTCTGAGTAAAGTATTTGCTCAGAAACATATATATTATATGTCTCTGATCTGCAACAGTAAATTTTCATTTATCGAAGCTGCACCCCCACCCCCCGAAATAGGATTTTCGAGTTTGGACATTTTTTTTTTTAGATCCGTTTTAAAACCGTTGCTTCGTACGTGCCTGTGACATTATCAACCCTCTATATCTCTACTTCTAATTACCAGAAGAGTATGTAACTTTCTAAAGAAGTGCTAAGTGCTATGATATCAGAAAGGAGATCGAAAGACTTCAAAATAACTGATTTGCACACCTGTAAGACTGCACACGTGGCAGTAAGTGCATATTTGTTAATTGGATAACTTGATGTATGTTTATTATTTGTTGTCTTCACGACTATATGCCAAATGCCAATGCCATCCTCAGAACGTCAGGGGCCCTGAGTTAACTTGTTGCCATCCAACGGCAACGAGTTGACTCAGGACCCCTGGCGTCTCGACTGTGCCACGAGTTAACTCAGGACCCCTGACGTTGTGAGGATGTGCCAATGTATGATGGTGTTGTCAATAATTAAATGAATTGAATTGAAATACATAAAAGTTTTTACCAACAATTAACCTAATAAATTATAATTTTTTTTTTTTTGAAAATATCAAGTCTCTTTTTAATCGAGCAAAATTTTTTGTTAATGCAGGGCTCCCGGGAACTTTATTTTTTCTCAAAGATTAATTTGAACAAAAATCGTAAAATGGCACATATTTTTATCCATTCTCTATTTCTGACACCGATTTTATTTTTCATTAAGTATTAATTAAATTTATTGATTTTATTCATAACTTTCTAAAAATTCCAAAAGGCTGAATTCAACATGCAACCCCTCCCTCCATTTTTTTCCCCCTGAACCGAATCTCCTTGAGAAGAAATTATCCTGTATAACCATGTTTTTTTTTTTTTTTTTTTTGTTTTTTGATAAACAATACATTTGCAACAGAAGGGAATAAAGTACATGTAATGTTTAATAAGTGGACGAATGTGTAAAGCCTAAGGTCTGTTTTTTTGTTCCTTCACTTTTAAAATAGGAAATTAAATAGGTAATTTTTATTCCAATTAAAAAATCCGCCCTTGGATTTTAGTCAACCTTTTTTCTATTTTTAATAGGTTTTTCCCTGTCATCGGTCAAATTATGCCTCATGTGTACCCCTCTTCACCATGCTGCCAAATTTTGAGATAAAATTTGATACGCTTATGTACTAGTGCGTGTCATAGAGTTATGGTTCAAGTTTAAGTTTTCATTTTTGCAACCTTTTTGTATGGTAATACATGTAACACAGGCACTTTTTTCTGTAATAAATTTGTTAACCCATAGTATATCATAATACTATGGGTTAAAAAATTTATTACAGAAACAAGTGCCTGTGGGCAATAATCAGTGATAATGACCTCAGGGTTTCAAATAAGCTGGGGTTAGGAGTTTTGTTTCGAACTGAAAAAGTTAGATTTTTACCATTTCTTTTTTTGTTTTCAGTGTATGTTGGCATGACCCCCCCCCCCCCCCCCCACACACACACACACCGGTTCTTACAAGTCTGTTTTGGATGTTTTAAAGATCTCGTATTATGATACAGAGATCTCTTCATCCAAAAATGTTTAAACTAGTAAACTGATAAGGTTTGGTGTTCCTAGGACTCACAGTATGCAACAAATGATCTCCTTTCAAAATGAGGCGTGAACAAAAATTGGTTGGACCCCACCCCCTCCCCTCTTCAATTTTCCCGAATCTCTGTTGGTGTTCATTAATATGGAAATTGTCATTGACAGGCCGGTTGTCACTTTTTATTGCAAGGAACTTGGACCCCCCCCCCATCAAACATTTATGTAACTGCCCCCCCCCCCCCAACCATACAACGAAATAATTGTTTCGAGTTGGGGCATTTTTTTTTTTTTTTGCTTGTCAATTTTTTTTCTGCTATCTTGTCAATTTTGCACCCCCCCCCTCTTTTTTTGTTTTGAAAAAAAAAAGGATGTGTCTGCGCTGCACACCGATGTTATGTGCAAGTTCTGTCAAAATCATTCCGATTTCTTAAAAGAATTAACACCCTCGCCATTCAGTTAACAAATTTCACATACCCTTCCCAAAAGTCACTGGTAAACCAGAGGCACTGTGCAAAATTAGAACAAAGGTAGATTTTGGGTCGGAATCCCTTGGCTAGAATGACATGTACCTGGCATATAGCTCCCCCGGTTTATGGAGGAGACTTGAAACATGACATTTAAGATAATTAACTCTGAAAAAAAAAAAGAAAATTACAAAGGGAAAATATATGATTAGGAAAGCCGCTGGCCCCTGAATGTTGATTAAATCAGAACAAGAGTGGTTTGTGGCAACACAATTAAAAAAAAATTAAGCACTTTGAAAATTTTTTTCAAAGTGCGTTAAAATTGGGACAAAATCAACACACTTTGAAAATTTCTTTCAAAGTACGTTAAGAGTGTACATCAACATTTTTTACAATGGATACACTTAACGCACTTTCAAAAAAAAATCTGTACTTAGATTTTAGTAATAGACAGCATTATTTTGTTATATTTCTTTCAAAAAACTTAGGAATTGATCTACCCTCATCGAGTAACGAGAAGACAAGTAGAAGGTCCCTAGCTCAACCCAACTCTTTATCTTTCCTACCCAAATATATGCATTTACATAACTGGTATGACATTGATATACATGTGGTTATGAACCATTTTTTTTCTTCAATTATTATTCACTCTAAACAGGCAGCATATTAAAAGAAATAAAAACAGTAGAACAATAGTACATGTATTTATTCAGTAATCCAATCCTTTGGTATCCAACTAAGGATTAAATTATAACTCTGATGCTCATGTAAAAATAAAGGTATAAAACTGAAACATAATTTGTGCAAGAGATCAAACAAGTAAAGAACATGAAGATATAAACAAATTATTGACTTTGTTGTGGCCAGATCACAAAGGAAAAATACACCAATCACACATTAAAACATGATCATTGCATCACATGTAGAAAATGTCATCTTCCAGTCATTAGCAATTATTTTATCTTCACAGTGAATTCAGATATGTGAACATATAAGGACAACATTTGTTTAAATTCTGGCAAATCTAATCACTACGACTCTTGAAAAAGTGAGTAGCTTTAAATGACCGTAACCATATGAATATATGTCACAATTATTTCACAAAGTAATTTAAACATTAAAGTGGTTGACGCAAAATCTACTTGCAAATGCACAAGCAATAAAATTGTTCAAGAAAAATTTAAATCACAGTCAAAGAGTTGAAATCTACCACATGATTGTTTTCCTACTACATGTAGACAAATAGACTTAAAGACTCAATTTCAAAATTACTTAAATGTTACACACAAAAAAATGTACAGGTGAAAATGTATAAAATTCTGTAAACAAACTTTCCTGTATGTGCATGTAATATTGGAAAAATTCATGAGGACAGGAACATTTCTTTTCTTTTCTTTTTGTAATATGAAAAAGTCAATCATGTCTACATTTTGAAATCAAAAATACATCTTGGATATTAAGACTTGCAACAGCAAATTGCAACATATATTTTCAAATGTGACCAAATAATGAAACAAAATAGAAATTTAATTAATTTCATTTCAATTTTAAGAAAAGTTAGTTTACAGTATTAAAAGAATGAACTTAATCCTCTTCTAAATGCCTTTCCATGTGTAGAACTATGTCAGAATTAATGCTCATCCCAAGGCCTAAAATAAAATATTCTTTGTTAGCAGATGCCCTCCAACTCACTAAAATGCACCTTGGCACCCCAATTTTATTGTATGGAGATAAATTTTTTAATGTTTCAAGTTTTCCAGATAACAAAACTAAATTTCATTTTCTATTTTGGAGTTTTATTTTTAGGTGTGTCATTAGGAAGAACCTGCTATGTATCTACCACGACTGCTACCACACAACACTAAAATTTGATACAATGGAATTTTACATATTGCACGTTAGACTAAAATTAGGTAATTAAGTGTAGCATGCAGGTACATACACTTTTCAGTATCTTCATGAAAATTCTTAATCGTATACCTATGACCCTTAATCCATGAAATGTGAAAAGAAAAATTGATTTATTTTCATATTTTAAAAAATTATATCGAGGCAATCTTTAAAAAATTGTTTGTTTGTCCTCTGCCGACTGTTTCCTGACTCATAACTTTTTTTGACCTCCAAGAAGCAATTATTTTTTTATTCATTGATAACTATTTTTAACTTCACGTTTGCAGGTGATTTTGAATTTTAAAAAAATTGTCCCTATCTACCCACCCAATTTTTTTTTAATCCTGAGTCAGGAGATAACAAGCAAACATTTTTTTAAAGATGGCCCTACCTACCCACTCTAGAAATTGTGGGACAGCAACTGCAAACAAAGAATTTTTTATGCTTGTCCAAAAGAACAGGACAACCCCTCACATATACAATGGTGTTAAATTTTTTTGCACTATGGTTATCTGGAATTGTAGTTAAGATTTTTCACATAGAATACATGTATAATTAAAATATC